TATCTTGTTATCTCCCTGAGTCACTGTGTATCCGGTTGAGGGAATTCCTTTGAAGACCCTTTGGTGCTTTTTTCAGTAATGAGGTTCCATCTTTGATCAAAAGTAAATCAAAGTGAGGACTTGAGTACTGCGGGAGTCACAGCCCTAGCCTCTAGCAGACTGTGAGAATACTTTCCCACAGCCAATTCAAAAGACAAGGCAGGGATTTTGAAATCTGTGTTTGACATCTTATTGACACTACTAGATTACATAGATTCAGCTGCTGGCTACGCCTTTATTCCATTCTCAATAGCAGAGATATTTATGAAGCCTTCTCCATTTCCAGCTACTCTTCTGCTTTTGCTGCTGGAGGATTAGTTTGCCTTCATAGCAGATCATTTTTAGGGTTGCTTTTCATGAGTCAGCATTTTCTGTGCTCTTTTATGTTACAGACGGAGCCTGTGATCCTGGTCTGTATTTGTGTTGTCAATGGAAATATAATTTGAACTCCATATTCCATTTTAAATTTTCTTGAAGCTAAATTTCTACATTTAAAACAGCAAAAAGGGCCAGGCACAGTGGCTCATGCCTATAATCCCACCACTGTGTGAGGCCAGGACTCGAGGATTGCTTCAGGCCAGAAGTTAAAGATCAGCTTGACCCACATAGCAAGATTTCTGTCTCCACAAAAAAATTGCAAAAATATTAGCCAGGCATGGTGGCACATGCCGATAGTGCCAGCTACTCAGTGGCTGAGGTGGGAGGATTGCTTGGGTCCAGGAGTTCAGGGCTACAGGGAGCCATGATTGAGCCACTGCACTCCAGCCTGGGTGACAGAGCAAGAACCCAACTCAAAAAATAATAATAAAATAAACAATGAATGAAAATAAAAAAGCAAAAGAGACATGAAATTAACTTTAATAATATATTTTATAGAAATCAATGTATCAAAAATATTGTTATTCTAACATGTAATCAGTGCAAAAATTATGAGGTATTTTACTTTCTTTTTTTCATATAAAGTCTTTGTAATTGGTGTGTCTTTTATACTTTTCCAACACATTTTGAGTTGGAATAGCCACATTTCCATTGCTCAATAGCCACATGTGGTTAGTGGCTACTATATTGGACAGTACACATCTGTTTAAGAGTACTAAGAAATGTGTTATCTAAATAACCCATTGTTCATTCTGTAAAGCATATGCCTGGATCATTCCCTATCTTCCTAGTGGTTTTTGCGACCAAGGCACCTACTATTGAGATGACAGGCTTAGGAGATTACTGGAGGACAGCTAATTGACTTTTTGAAATTCAAACATATAAAAGTCTTTAGTTCCATGCCCTAGTCATTTTGGTTAATTGTTCACAGTGATATAAAAATGATAGAAATAGACTGATTGCTGATAGTAGTAGAGCATTGGCAAGTCAGGAAAGGTGTGAGAATGAGTAAGCAGTAGAACTCATGGTACTTTTGTGAAACCTAAATTTTAAAAACTCAGAAGAAAAAGGCTGAGCATGTGTATCTCCAAAAAGCTCGTGAATACTCATGCTGCTTATCTTTCTGCTTCCGCACCAGCCTAGTAATGACTACTGGAAAGAACAGACACAAATGGTAGAAGATGCCCCCTTCCCCACACCTTATTGAATCTGACAGCATGAGACAGTGAGGTCATCATCTCTCACTGTTGATTCCAAGTCTCCCTCATCGGTATCACCATGAAGCTGAGGAATTTCCCCTCTTAAGTGGAAACAGTGAACTCTCAATTTTAAAAGAGAGACAGAGAGGGAGGAACAAACTGTTCTTGTTTTTCTTCCTGCCTAGCCCTTACTTTCATTATTATGTAAGAGGTTCATGCAAATGATTTTGGTGCCTGTGTGTGCATTTCTAAAAATTAAAAAGACGTTGTAAAATCACCACCCAAAGTCCACGTAAAAGGATTTCAGGGGGTCTATAATTGTTGAACTTAGACTACTGCATGTGTCTACTGTGGATATTTGTAGTTATGCTCAACATCATCATGAGACTGCAATTTAATGTCACATCTGCTCTATAAAGGAATAATTTGAATCACTTTTCTATATGTTAATTATAGGATGGCTTGCTCTATGGTTTTAATTATCATTTTCTCTAATACTTCTTTGTTTATTTCTTTGGTGATTCAGCTTAAACATAGTTGAAACTGGTACTTAGTAATGAAAAGGAATGAAAAAGGTTTAGAATAAACACGGTAGTTGATACTAACAGGCATTTTGGTGCTGGGAAGATACAGAAGGATATTACTAATATTTATCATTCTTACAATAGTCTGAAACGTCTGAAAGCCATTTCCTCTAACACAGCACTGTCCAGTAGAACTGTCTGCAAATGATGAAAATGTCTCCTGTCTGTGTTATCTAGTAAGGAAGCTAACGGCCACATGTGGCTATTGGACATGAAAAAATGTGACTTGTATGACTCTGAAACCAAAACCTGATTATTTTCTAGAAATTTACATTTCTATTGAACTCACATCAATGTTTTTTCCAAGTTAGTATCGACAACAAATACCAGTTTGAAGTGAAGGTATGCTGAGGTGCACATTACTGGCAACCTTCATTTTAAATTTAGCTATTAATAATTTTCACCTTACTTAGGCCTGGTTTTTTGGATCAAATTTGGTTTTACGAATATTCTTACTTAACTGTGGTAGTCAAAGTTTTCTGATCTTGGAGCCGCTTCAGCTTTTTTGAGCTGCCGATGATGCCAGAACTTATCTTGCCTCAAATGTAAGAGGCAATATTAGTCAGAACATTTTGGTTTCTCAGCGAATTTCTTTGCTTTTTACAGCTTGATCTTTATAGAATACCATCCTTTCAATACCAATGCTTCTCTGTCTTTCACAAACAAGAGTTCATAATTCTTGTCCTGATTTGCCAATTTTGTTATCCTAAATTTCCAATTAAGATGTACCTATATAAGTGTTGTGATAGGAATTTAGAAAGAACTTGTTCAACTCTTGCTTCCCAGTTTTTCTCTTTCCTAATTATCATTTTCCTTCTCTAATAAATGCTAATTAAACTACTTTTCTTGCTGGTTTAGAGCCTTCTGTTTTAATATTCTTCTGTGTAAAGAGGCTAAATTTAGTTTTTCCTCTGAATTCTTTAGACCATTTTAAACAGGAATGAATATGTAAAACCACTTTAGACTGTGGTTTCTTATTTTCTCAACAAGACAGCTTCAAATACTATAGATATGTGTTCATATATTTTAATAGAAGTCACAGAATAAACCAGATTGACCCTATGCTCTTTTGGCTTACAAACATGTATGTTGAAACTTTGAAAACCCCTTTTCTGGTGTCTGAATAACCACAGGGTTTTTAAAACTCGAATTCCGGCACTAATCATTTGCTCTAGGAAAGACTTGGAGTTGTAGGGTAGGTTGGCCACACTTATGTCAAATGATTATAAAACGTACTCTGCTGTTCTAGAGCAGCAATCCCCAAAGCAATCCCCAACTTTCTGGCACTAGGGACCTGTTTTGTGGAAGACAATTTTTCCTCGGACGGGGAGGCATAGTGAGGGATGGTTTTGGGATGAAACTGTTCCACTTCAGATCCTTAGGCGTTAGTTTGATTCTTATAAGGAATGCACAGCCTAGATCCATCGCATGCAGAGTTCACAATGAGGTTTGTGCTCCTTTGAGAATCTGATGCCACTGCTGATCTGACAGGAGGTAGAGCTCAGACAGTAATGCTCACTTGCCCACCGCTCACCTCTTGCTGTGTGGCCCAGTTCCTAACAGGCCAGGGACTGGTAGTGATCTGTAGACCAGGGAATGGGGAACCCCTGTTTCAGAGGCTGGTGGCACTTGGTTAAATCCAATAAATTTACGTATCCAAAAAGGCAAGCTAGTGCTACCAAAGCTTTCCAGTTGCAGAGTCACCTCAAATTTGGGCTAGTGAAGACTGAAGCAGCTTCCATTGCTGTGCGCTTTGCAGAAAGGCTTTATCCCTGAGGCAGTTGAGAAATACAGGTTTCTGGAAATCCATCTTTCTTACTATTTGGTAAATTAAAGGATGAGCCTCACAGGTCAGGTCCAGAGAACTCAATGATAGAATGTTTAATAACTTTGTCCTTCAAAGAGCTCAAAGAAACGGACTGTTCTTTCTTAAATCTTCATGTAACATCCTTAGGAGATTTTACAATTTTATTTTTTTGTTGCATTGAGCCTAGTCAGAAACTCAGTAGGAAAATGGGCAAAGGAGAAGCAGCCCTGGTTGAAATGGGGTTTGCCTCCAAAGCCCTTCCTCCTTCCCTTTCCTTGATGATGTTGTGTCTGTGTGTCCCAGCTGTGCAGTCCTCAGGGGAGTGCCCGTGGAATACACCCTGAAGACTGGCCAAAAGCGTCACTAAAGATGTGATGAACAGAAGTTTGGTTGAGATGCTGCCTCCACCCCAAAACACTGTTTATGTCATTCTAATGCTGCTCAGCAGAATTATTGCTTCTGTCTCTCTCTACACAAACACACTCGTGTGTGCACGCACACACACACACACACACACACACACACACACACTGTGAGTTTCCTAGATCTCAAAATAATGCATTAGTTAAGGCTGTAAATAAATGGTAATTTCAGAATAGATTGGGACTTTCTGAGTTACACCCCTCCCCAGCGAAAGGGAGACAACGGAAATTATTCTACTCACCAGGAGCTCCCGGAAATAGAGTTTATATGGAAATAAAACATCAGCTTCAGAATAACAGTCTGTGCACTGGGAGAGGAGAAACTCAACAGATGTAGAAAAAAAAGAGAAGCACAAGTGGCCAAACCCTGAGGTGCCAGAGGAGAGAGGGATCTATGACCTTACTTTACCTTCGTCATGGATGACTTAAAGGATTAATTAAGTAAAAGTCGGTACCTTTCTTGAAGCTCTTTGGAGAAAGAAGCTATTTAAGTATAAATTATGATCATGCAGCTTACATCTCACATGTCAGGCATGCATGGTTAACTGTGTCTGATGTGTAAGTTATAGCCATGAGGATCCTGGATCGACCTCCCTCCTTTGACATGGTGGTAAGACAGAGATTGATGGTGTTATATGTGGCATCTGAGTCCAGGGCATCTGAGCTGTGACGTTGTAGTTGGAGAAACCAGAGCCTCTATCTGTGCCTCTTCTTGAGGGCATTTTCTTAAGACATTTGAGGAGGGGGTGGGAAACAGAAGTTAGTAAACTGAGAAAAATCTACTTTTTTTTTTCAATTTACTTTATTAACTTATTGCCTAAGAGGGTAAAACAAATTAAATGAGAGAAGAACATATTTTTAACCAGACGTTTTAGTTTCCTAGGGTGTCTATAAAAAAGGACCACCAAGCATGAGACTTAAAACAACAGAAATAGATTCTCTCACAGTTCTGAAGGCTAGAAGTCTAAAATAAAGGTGTTGGCCTCTTCCTGGCTTCCAGTTGCCCTAGGCATTCCTTGACTTATGGCAGCCTTGACTGTGACTCCAAACTCTGCCCGTGTGTGTGTGTGTGTGTGTGTGTGTGTGTGTGTGTGTGTGTGTATGTATGTATATGTGTGTATGTGTGTGTGTGTGTGTGTGTGTCTTCACCTGCCTTTTTTCCCCTTTCTCTTTCCTTTCATCTTTCTTTCTCTCTCTCTCTTTCCTTCCTTCCTTCCTTTCTTTCTTTCTGTCTGTCTGTCTGTCTGTCTGTCTGTCTGCATGCCTGCCTGCCTGCCTGCCTGCCTGCCTCATTCTGTCACCCCAGGCTAAAGTGCAGTGACACAATCACAGTTTGTTGCAGCCATTACTTATCTGGCTCAAGTGATCCTCCCACCTCAGCCTCCCAAATAGCTGGGACCACAGGTACACACCACCACATTTGGCTAATTTTTGTATTTTTTGTAGAGCTGGCGTCTCGCCATGTTGCCCAGACCAGTCTTTAACTTCTGGGCTCAAACAATCCTCCTGCCTTGGCCTCCCTAAAGTGCTGGGATTACAGCATGAGCCATAGCACCCAGCCTAGCTGTCTTCTTATAAGGACACCAGTCATATTAGAGTAAGGACCCAGCCTTCTCCAGTGTGATTTCATCTTATCTAATTAGATCTGCAACAACCTCATTTCCAAATAAGTTCACATTCTGAGGTACTCAGGATTAGGACCTTAATATATCTCTTTTTTGGAGATAGGAGGATGCAGCTTAGCCCATAACACCAGGTTTAGGATAGTTTTCAAAATTATGGAGGAGTTGAACCTTGCCCTTTTGTAAAATACCAGGTACAGCCCCATCAGAAAGCAGGTAGAGCAGCCCCGCCCTGCTGGGAGCAGCAGTGGAGGGCAGCCCCTCTGCTCTGCACCCCTGCCAGCTCACCTGGTTTCATCCCACCTGGGCACATGTTCTTTAGACGCCACAGAGACACCCCCACCCCCCACAGGGCTTCAAGGGTCACAGCAGAAAAAGCTGCAAAACTACATGTTCCATTGGCTTCCTTCCTCAAATAGCACCCTGTGCCTTTATAACAGGCAGCTTTAAGGAACACAAACTCTGAAAATAGTCTGTTTGGAAGGCTTGTTGGAGAGCAATTGCATTTCCTCTGTTTTTTGGTTTTAATATAAAGGAAATAGAATCTACTGAAAGCAGACTTTTTCCAGTGTCACCTTAGCACTGCCACCAGCACCCATTCAGAGTTGGGTAAAAAGCCTCCGACAGACTGAGGGCTGATTTTTCCCCTCTGCACGTTCACGTCCATGGAGAATGGTAGCATACAGCTCACGCTCTAGAATGTAACTCCCTCCTTTCATAAAGATTGGGAAAGTGGGAAATTCATTCTTGGCAAGACTGAAACAGGGGGAGTCACAGCCAGTCCTGCTTAGCAGCACAAGCTCCACCCACAAAACCAATTGACTCCACAGCAGAAACCCTGACTGAGGTCCATGCCGCCTCCCGCCTGCCCGGAGTAATGGAACTCTTGGGAATAGTTGCCCAGGCTCCTGGGAGGAATGGAGACTTGCTTATCAGTCTTTGGGAGGCTGTGATCTCCCTGGCAAGGAGAATTATATTTTTTAGATAACTAGATCCAGGAAGAGGAGGCTCTGGGAAAGAGTACACAAAGCTGCCCAAGGGGAAAAGTCCTAACGATAACTCCATAAAAGGCAGCTTTAAATGGTCTCAGCTGATCCATATTTTTAGAAAATTGTTTTTACTCAGCCTGCCTGACTGTAATACTATTGACAGAAACAGCAATGAAAGGGAGATAAACATGATGTTGTGATCTTTCTTTTTTTTTTTTTTTTTTTTTTTTTTGAGACGGAGTTTCGCTCTTGTTACCCAGGCTGGAGTGCAATGGCGCGATCTCGGATCTCGGCTCACCGCAACCTCCGCCTCCTGGGTTCAGGCAATTCTCCTGCCTCAGCCTCCTGAGTAGCTGGGATTACAGGCACGCGCCACCATGCCCAGCTGATTTTTTGTATTTTTAGTAGAGTCGGGGTTTCACCATGTTGACCAGGATGGTCTCGATCTCTTGACCTCGTGATCCACCCTTCTCGGCCTCCCAAAGTGCTGGGATTACAAGCGTGAGCCACCGCGCCCGGCCTCTTTTTATGCCTCCCATGAAGCCCCAGGTAGTATAAATTGTGCTTGACAACCTTTGATTAGCAGCTGCTCGTTCTGCTGAGGAAAGGAGGCGTTTATCTGAGACACTGTTCTCCCTTCATAAATAAGCTAGAAATTTGCTGCTGGTAATAGTTTCCCAGAGGAAGCCAGGTCTGATCCTCCTCTTTCACACCTCTGGACACTTCTGTTTGCAGCCCTGTGGGAAGGAGCAGTGGGGAGTCCATGGGGCCATTGGGGAAGTCTGTGTCTCACTCTTAGGGCAGCGCTGGGTGACCTCAGAACATTTTTGAATGTGATATGGTCTATACCAGCAGATCAAGTACTTTCTTCTTTTCTCTGTGACAGTGTGGTGCTGCAGAAAATGCTTTGGACTAAGCAACAAAAGATTTCATTCCATTTCTGATTCTTTTACTAACTGTGACTTTGAGCATGCCATCTAATCTCTTTGATCTGCAGCCTAGATTCATTCCTCTAAAACCAAGCTATCCATGTACTTAAAGGGAAATGGCTCCAGATATGTGAAGCCACAGGATAAACCCAAAATATCTTCTAAGAGCATCAATTTTACTCTGTCATTTTAAAGAAAGAATTTTTATGTGAGAAACAAGGCTACCCATGGAGTAGAATGGAGAACTTCACAATAATTTTTCAGTAGGTTCAAGGAAAACCTATTTCAGAGAAGTAATAACTTAAGTATGAGTTCACTACTCTTTGTTTTTAGGAATATTGTCATGACAAAAAGTTTGAGAAGCACTAGATTAGATCATCTTGAGGCTGCCTTTCTACTCTTATATTTGGGGATTCAACAATAAACCTCTGTTTTGGGCTGAACATTGCCCCCTACAAGTTCAAATGTTGAAGCCCTAACCCCCAGCACCTCAGAATGTGACTATGCGGAAATAGGACCTTGAGGAGGTGATTAAGTTAAAACGAGGCTGTTAAGATGGGTCCTAATCTAATCTGACAGGTGTCTTTATCACAAGAGGAAATTTGGTGCTAGGTGGAGTGGCTCACACTTGTAAACTCAATAATTTAGAAGGCTCAGTCAGGAGGATTGCTTGAGGCCAGGAGTTTGAGATCAGCCTGGGCAACATAAGAAGAAACATGTTGATAAAACGTATCTTAAAACAGATTTAAAAAACCTAGCTGAGTGTGGTGTCATATGCTTGTAGTTCCAGCTATTTGGGAGGCAGAAGCCAGAGGATCACTTGAGCCCAGTAGTTCAAGGCTGCAGTGAGCCAGGATCAGGCCACTCTACTCTAGCCTGGGCGACACAGAGGGACTCCATCTCTATAGAATAAAAAAGAAAAGGAAATTTGGACTTACATTAGGGATGCCTGCTTACAGAGGAAAGACCATGTGAGGACACCATGATAAATGGCCATCTCAAAGCCAAGAAGAGAGGCTCACAAAAAACCCAGCCTGCCCACACCTTGATCTAGGACTTCTAAGCCTCGAGAATGGGAATAAATAAATACATACATAAACGAATGAATGAATGAATGTTGTTTGAGCCACCCAGTCTGTGGTGTTTTGTGACTGCAGACAGCAAACGACACAGGTTCCCTTTGCCTACTACATAAAGGCCAACTTCCTTGGCCCAGAATTAATGACCTTCTGTGAGGGTCATTGACCCCATCCTCACCATTTAGCCACCACTGCCCTCTACTCCCTTAATTCCTAACTTGCTCTGTTTTCATGTTGTGCCTGCCCATCGCCAGGCCTATTCTCTTCACCTGAGATGATTACGTGTCTACTTCTCAAAATGCACTCATCCCTAACCACCTCCTTCCCCCTTAGGTCCAGCCTGAAATGAACAGACTTAACTGGTAACTGCGGGTTTTGCTGTTAAATGACACAAGGGTAGCCTTGACTTTGGGTTATCTCTGCGTTACTCTTCTTCCTCTCAGATGCCAGAGTAAACAGACCACTTCTTCCGTGTTTCGAATGTTTGTTTCCACAGCAAGACGTCCCATGCTTGACGTAGAGTCAAAGCCCACCAGCTCAGTACATGGAACAGAGGTCAATCAATATTGTTTTCTCTGCCAAATACGTTTTTAAATATATAGTCATTCCTTATTGTCCTTGGGGGGATTGGTTCCAGGACCTTTCTTAGATATCAACATCTACAGATGCTCAAGTCCTTCATATAAAATGGCACAGTGTTTGCATATAACCTATGCATACTTCCTGTATAGAGTAAATCACCTCTAGATTACTTGTAATACCTAATAGAGTGTAAATGCAATGTCATAGTTGTTATAGTGTATTGTTTAGGGAATAACAGCAAGGAAAAGAAGTTTGTGTTCAATGTGGATGTCATTTTTTTTCCAAATATTTTTGATCCATAGCTGGTGAATTCATGGATTCAGAACCCATGGATACAGAGGGCTGATTCTATCTTATAAATATATTTTACACAAATATATTTCTTATATGTAATTACATTTTAAACAAT